AAATACGGTGGAACCCAAAAGGCTCTGGAGGCTGACACAGCAGGAGTGCGGGCAGTGGATGTGCGAGTGCTTGCATCAGTGTGAAGAGAACAACGGAGCGAGGGCTCGGGTGGGGAGAGATGTGCCTTACTTATCCCCATATTCCCCAGCGCCTAGGCACATGGACTCTCCAGGAGCAGGGGACTGCGTGGGCAAAGCCTCCTGGTTCTGTGAAGTTTTCCCAGAAGCCTTCAGCACAGACCAGACCGGGCTCCCTCCAGCCACTGTTGCCTTTCCCTGCTGATCAAATGCCCAGGCCAGGTCAGGATTCCCCAGAGAGTGCATACACCATGGCCCATGGCCTTGGGGAGCCCTCACCATTGACAGGTAGGCGGCTGACTGAGCCCTCACAGTTCCCACTGCCCACCGCACCTGGCAAAGACAAAGCAGAATGAAACGGTGCTGCCAGCCTTGTTCAGCGAGAGGCAGAGTAGGTGGGTTTGTTTAAAATACTCCCATTACAGTCAGTTAACCTTTATGTTCCCTAAATGAAAATTGTATAAACCTGAAATTTTCGTTGATCATGTTGCCTAGGAACAGGCAGCAGGTTTTCCTAAGACAATGCCATAGATTGTCACCAATAGGGCTATTAGAAAGTGAGCCGGTTAGCGATATTATTCCCCATCCTGGTGTTGCCTTGGGTAATTATCTGTCTGCCTGTACAGGGCACGCCTATCTTCCCAGACTCCGGCAGGTTCATGCAAATGAGGCGTCACAGCCTGCCTCCCTCCTGGCCCCTGCGATGGAGGCCTGGGGTCCTGGGCCAGTTGTCACCCCTGGAAGCCCATGGTGGATGGATTTATTTCTGTTTAATCACCTTCGCCCCCTGCTTGTCATGATGGTGACTCTCAGAGCCCTACCACTGACTGTTACATCATCTTAAGAAAAGCAGAAAACTTGGGAAATAAATAACGGCAAAACGCGCAATGAAAATTAAAAACACAAAGTAGCTCTAAGACAACTTTAGGATGTCCTTTTTAGTATTTTTTCTTTATATGATATCTACGTGTGTACATATGCATACATACATTCATGTTTTTCTTTATATGGTATGTTTATTTTTGAAAAGGTCTCTGTAACTTGCTTTTTTCCTCTTGTAGTGAGGGTGACAAGCTGTCCTGGTTTGCCTGGGCTGAGAAGTTTCTCAGGACTGATCTATGTCATTATTGACATGCTTTTCCATAGCTCCACAGTGTACAACCACTGTGGATGAACTCTGTTCAGCTTGGGGTATAGGCATTTGCTGTAGCCGTTAAGACGCTGCTTGGTTGGCCGGCGCCGTGCCTCAATAAGCTAATCCTCCACCTGCGGCGCCGGCACACCAGGTTCTAGTCCCGGTCAGGGTGCTGGATTCTGTCCTGGTCGCTCCTCTTCTTGTCCAGCTCTCTGTTGTGGCCTGGGAGTGAGGTGGAGGATAGCCCAAGTCCTTGGGCCCTGCACCCACATGGGAGACCAGGAGAAGCACCTGACTCCTGGCTTCGGATCAGCACAGTGCACCGGCCACAGCAGCCATTGGAGGGTGAACCAACGGAAAAGGAAGACCTTTCTCTCTGTCTCTCTCTCTCTCTCTCACTGTCCACTCTACCTGTCAAAAATAAATAAATAAATAATAATAATTAAAAAAGACGCTGCTTGGGCTGCCCACACCCTATATCAGAATGCCTGAGTTGAAGTCTCAGCTCTACTTCTGATCCAGCTCCCTGCTAATGTGCCTGGGATAGCAGCAGAGGGTGGCCCAAGTGTTTGGGCCCCTGCACCTATGTGGGAGACCCAAAAGAAGCTCCTGCTCCTGGCTTCGGTCTGGCCCAACCTAGCTATTACAGCCATTTGAGGAGTGAACCATTTGGGGAAGATCTCTTATGGTGTTTCTCTCTCTCCTTCTCTCTCTCTCTCTCTCTCTCTCTCTGTAACTCTGCCCTTCAAGTAAATTTTTTAAAAACAAATTTAAAAAAATTATAATTAATGCTGTGGTGAATAACTTCAACCATATGTTCTTGCAGAATAAATTCCTACAAGTAAGAGTAAGATTATTAGGTCACAGGATATATACATGGCATTTGCTGTGTTAGCAAATATATCAAGAAAAATATATACCAATATGAAAAACATATGCCAGTTTCTACCCCTCCCCCATCCCTCCAAGGCCCCTTACAGCAAACAGTACTTTCATCACTGTCTGTGTGATAGGTGAAAAATACGTCTTATCCCACATGGGGACTGTGTGTGCACATCAGCCATTTGTAAATTGCCTGTTTCTGTCTCCTACCCATTTCTTTTTCAGGAACCTCATCTCTTGCCCTTTAGTCTTTAAAAGTCCTTACAGGGCAGGCATTGAGGCACAGAAGGTTAAGCTGATAAGGCTTGTGATGCCCCCATCCCATATCAGAGTGCCAGTGCGAGTCCCAGCTCTGCTTCAGCTCCAACTTCCTGCTAACGCATCCTGCGATGGCTCAGAGGATGGCCCAAGTACTTGGGCCTCTGCCACCCATGTGTGAGACGTGGACAGAGTTTCTTGCTCCTGGCTTTGGCCTGGCCCAGCCCTGGCTATTACAAGCATCTTGGGAGTAAGCAAGTGGATAGAAAATCGATCTCTCTACCCACCTCATGCCTTTCAAGTAGATGAAAAATGAAAATAAGCAAGAATAAACATTTTAAAAAGATAAGCTCCCTTTAAAAAAATTAAAACCTCTTGTATTAACCATATCAGTCATTAATATTGAGCTATTTTTCCCGTTTTTTAAGACATTTGTGATTATCATTCTTTTTTTTTTTAAAGGTTTTATTCATTTATTTATTTGCAAGATAGAGTTACAGAGAGAGAGGGAGAGACAGAGAAAGGTCTTCGATCTGGTGGTTCACTCCCCAAACCGCCACAACAGTCAGATCTGGGCCAATCCGAAGCCAGGAGCCAGGAGCTGCTTCTGGGTCTCCCACGCGGATGCAGGGGCCCAAGCACTTGGGCCATCCTCCACTGCTTTCCCAGGCTATAGCAGAGAGCTGGATCGGAGGAGGAGCAGCCAGGACTCAAACCAGCGCCCATATGAGATGCTGGCCCTACAGGCAGAGGATTAACCTGTGCCACAGCACTGGCCCCCGATTATCATTCTTTAAAGTGTAAGAGTAATAGAAGGGTATTTGTGGGAAATGGAATTAAAAGGTAAGTTTATTTGGGAACAGAGATTTTTGAAATCAGTGCATATGAAGAGTTTCCAAAAAGTTTGTGGCAATGTGTATTATGAAAAAATTGTGTATGGATTTCAAATGTCTTGTGCCAAAATAATCTTAACATTTAATTCCACCTCTCCATAAACTCCCAGAAGTACCTGCAGACCTGTTATCTGGGGTCTTTGAAAAAGAGATTTGCCATTTTTGATAGGTATCTCCCTAAGCTTGGTCACTAAAATACTTTCAAAAGTATTTGGGATGAGAGATTTCTCCAAAATGGCTAACTCACATAGGTCCCTTTTGGAAACAGTGGACACTGTACACATTTTTAACTTTGCCTTGGTGTCTCCGACACGCTGTAAACAGTAGTAATTTTCTGTGTTACGGTGCTACCTTCAGCAGCTGTTGCCCTACGAAGAGCTTTTGCTTCTGTGCCGTATGCCCTGACTGCTTTTTAAATAAGATACCTGGTTTTTGTGTCTCTCCCGTCACTACCAGGCTGTCACACCATCACTTTGGCTGCCGTAAGCATTCCTGCCTTCCCCCACCACATCCTGTCTTCATCAGCAGTGCTTGCTAAATTTATCTGTAAACCAGAAGTCAGTGAGTGCTGAGCGAGAACTTGAGGCGCTGGAGTCGGACGGTGCAGGCCGCGGGGTTACTTTTTCCCCCAGGCTTGTATCGCGTGGGGTTGAGGTGGTTCAGTAAGGGCCTCTGGGGGGTGTGAGTGCAATAGGCTTCAGGCATTTGGGAGGCAGAAGAGAAAGAGGAAAGATTCGCAGGCACTTGCAGATGCGGCTGCACAGTGAGGCCCCGCAGTACAGATGGACAGCGTCGGTGTTTAATCCTCTTACTGCTCTCAGGAGCGGGGTGGCGTAGGCTTTGTGCAAGTGGCTTCTCTGACCTAGAAATTGTAAAGATCTGGCTTCTAGGCCAGCACCTGCGGGGCGCGGCTTTCCACGTGTAACCCAGGCCTCTGATGCTCAGTTTGCTCGTCTGTGATGGGGAGCTACAACTAAATGGCCTATTTTATTTATTTTTATGTATTTCTTGGAGACAGAGAGACAGACAAAAGAGCTCCCACCTGCTGGTTCACTCCCCAGATGGCCGCAACAAGAAGGGCTGGGCCAAGGCCAAAGGCAGGAGCCTGGAGCACAATCCATGGCTCCTATGTGGGAGGCAGGACCCCAATCGCTTGGGCCGTCACTGCTGCCTCCCAGGGACTGCAGCAGTAGGAAGCTGGAGTCAGGAGCCAAAAGCCAGGCCCTCCAGCGTGGGACACAGGTGTGCTAACCCGCATCTTAACCACTAGGCCAAATGCCGGGCCCTGGCTTGTCTGCGTCAGAATCACACGGCCTCATGTGAAGTCGCTGGCCCAAAGGGTTGTCAGAGGAACTTGTAAAGAGCCAAGCAGCGGCAAGGGATTGTTGTTGTTGTTGTCATTGTTGTTGTTGTTGTTCACAGCCGCCTCCAGCAGCCCTCAGCTGCCTCCTTAGCCATGCTGCTTCCGCACAGGCCTCAGTCTGAGCCCGACCTCCGTGTGTGTCCCCCCCTTACGTCCTTGCCGTCCTTCCAGAACCCAATTTCATCCTTGTAGGTTTTTCCGCAGCAAGATTTGCACAAGTGGCGTGTTTTCTTAAATATTTATTTTGCAGGCCATTTACTCAGCACGGCTATTTTTACAGTGAGTAAGGAGCAAGGCTAAAAATAACTTAGCCCATAACCAGATCAGTCCTGCATTTGACATTTGCGGGGAATTCATTTGCATCTCATTTGTTCTCCTTTCTGTTTAACAGGTAGAATGTAAGAAAGCACAGCCTAAGGAAGTCATGTTCCCACCTGGGACGAGAGGCCGGGCCCGGGGACTGCCTTACACCATGGACGCGTTCATGCTGGGCATGGGGATGCTTGGTAGGTCGGGGCGGGAGCCCAGGGGTGGCGGCGGACGGGAGGGCAGGGGACACCTGGACGCCCCCTGGTCATGCGCCATTGAACTAGCTGCTTGAAATGCCTAAGCCTCAGTTTCCTTTTCTGCACTTAAGGATGACAGTTCTCCTCTTTCTAAGACCATTGTGATGATTACATGAACTCACACATATGTAGTCACACACACACACACAGAAAGGGACATAAAAGTTCGTGGAAACATGGAATTGAAAGGTAAGTTTAGGTGCAAAAAATGTTAAGCCATGCATGGTTTATTCATGATAGGCGTTGTCCATGGGCTTTTGGACCCTGTGTGTGTGTGTGTGTGTGTGTGTACACATACGAGTATTTGTCTTCCCTCATGCCTGGCTCAGAGGTTACTTGGTACTGTTTCATCTACTCTGAAGAAGGGAAGGTCTCCCTAGGCCTCCGCCTCCTGGGCTGGTGACCTCTGACCCCAGGCTGGCTTAACTTGGGAGGCTAAGGCTATGTTTTCTAAAACTTGGGCGAGGAGGGGGGAAGTCCTGAGGGTGGGCGATAATCCTGTCTATTTAAATGATTAACATTTTTCTCTTGGGATATCAAAATTTGCATTTAAATGGATGTTTTAAATAGGCTGTTTTACTCTTTATTTGCAAAAAAAAAAAAGATAAAAGACAAAGTGTGTTTGTTCTGACTAAAAATGATCTCTCCTGGCTTTTAGAGAAATTGAGTTGCATGTTATGCCCCCTTCCTCAAAGGTATCTCTGTCCACCCTGCGTAGATAATTGAAAATCTCACCGCTTAAATGGCATGAAAGATGGGGAGAGCGGCAGAGATGCGCGATGGTGCGGTCGCAGCAATAATTAGAAATCTCAAGGCGAGAGAACGGTGTTTTAGTGCAAGTTATTGTGTGTCGGGAAAATACTAATTAAATGGGATAAATGGTAGTTAATGGTGAAATTCCATTCAGGCACATGAGCTGTCTGGTGTTAATGGGTTTTCATTCGGTTTGGCTGCGAGTCTCTCTTCCATATTGTTTGATAAGCTCTTTATGTGTTTTCAGATCTGCTGTTTAAATCATTCCTGGCTTCATTTTAAATGTATGAAACTTTGCCTGGTCTTACAAAGAATTGTGTCTACATGCTTGTCTTGTGGAAATAGCAGGGGCAGGTAAAGCTATTTGTAGGGACTTCAGAAAATGGAGCAAGACAGCACGAGGATCTGAAAAATGGCCGGAGTGTTCATTCTTCTCAAATTAACTTCTGTGGTTTAACAGTTTCAAAGAATACTCTGATTCTAATTCTTCAAAAATTGGGGAGATGATTCTAAAACTTAGGTGGAAGAAGAAACCCATGAGAACATTTTTTAAAAAGGGGAATGAGAAGAGTAGTTCTATCCTATACCAGAACATAAAACAAAGCGATAGTAATTAAAACAGTATGGTACACAGGAATGTATCTGTTGATAGAAAGCATTAAACAGTCTAAATATATATATAGATATATATGGATATGTGTATATCCATATACATATCGGATATACATATATACATATATATGGATATATATATATTCATATAAAAGATTTATTCAAAAGGCAGAATAACAGAGAGAGGGAGAGACAGACAGAACCTCTCCTCCAATCTGGGATGCTTGGCATCACAAGCAGATTAACCCCCTATGTCACAAAGCTGGCTCCTAAACTAAATATAAGTACCTGCCATTATTATTTTTAAATGATTTGAAAAAATCAGAATGACTACATGGCTGACCATAAAGAATAACTTACTGGTCTTTATGTTGCATATCAAAAGAAACTCTACCAGAATTAATAGCTTTAAATGTTGAAGTCAAACCTGCAAGAAACAGGGCTCACCTCCTTGCTACGTGCTGGCTTTTGGCTTCTTGGATTTAACATGGGTGTCACAGCCCTCAGATGTAAAGTGGCAGACTTTCCAGGATCCAGGGTTCAGGAAGTGCCCTAGCTCTGCCTTTGCACCCTAGGAAGAATGAGCCAGTTTGCATCTGGGCAGAGAGCTATGGAGTGAAGCCAGCTTGGCTCATGTGCACGGGCACAGCTGTGTTCAACATCCCAAACTCCTAGCACCCAAGCCTGGATCCCTACACACAGGAGCACCCACTGGTTTCCTAATGTGAGCCATGGCAGGAGTGGGGGCAGGAGACATTCACTAGGCAATGGTCTCTGAGCACTGGCTGCCTGCCCAGCCCAGGCAGGACCGGCCCCATGTGACAGCTCATCACGCCGATACTTAATTGATCACAGTAGCGCTGCAGGGGCTCTTAGGAGCATGGGGAAGCAGGGCACCCCTCCTGGTGGAAGTTCATTTCATCAGGAAGGAGAAGGTTGTGCAAGCCAGGAGCCTTCCATTCACAAGGAGCAGCCTCGGGAAGGGACAGTCTAATCATGGGAGGCCAAGAGGCTCCAAGGCTGGCTGGGCAGCCAGTGGCCCCCTTCTGAAAGCACCTGCTGAGGTGACAGGGGATGTGCGTGGTCCCTGGGCTTCTGCAGCTGCCACCTGCCTGTCTCCTGCTTACTGGGAGATGGAGATGGGATGCGGTCCAGGTGCTTACTCGTCTGCCTGATACTTCCCAGTCCTCCAGCACTCCTGGCTGTGACTTCCTGGGCCATGGCAAAGAAGTGATTGTTAGTTAAAAATATCGTAGTTCATCCTTGAGTTATACCAGCCCCACCCCTGCCCCACTGCTTAAGGCTTTTGCCTGCAGTAACTCTGGTTGAGACAGAGACCCCATCCAGTCCACCCCTAGGATGAACAGGTCTTCCCTCTCCCCCAAAAGAAGAAAGAGAGTGCTTTGGATGGAATTGATGGTGCCAGCCCTGGCTACAGCAGGCCTTCAGCAAGGGAGGGCAGGGTCCAGGGAAGAGAGCTCAGGACTTCAGCTGTGTGGCTTGGGGCAGGTAGCTTAGCCTCTCTGTTCTTCCTTGACCCCATCCATGGCGTAATGATCTCGCTTCGTGGAGTTGTTGGAGGATAAATGGAAACATGTGTTGTCTGGAAGATGCTGTCTTTTGTCAGATCTAGGATGCAATGGCTACTAAGACACAGTCTTGGTGTGCCATTCAGAAAGGACAAGATGTGCTGTGAATTATGTTGTAGGAAGCTCCCTCATCACATTGACTGGAGATAAGTCCCACTTTCAGAAATGCTCAAGTGAGGAAAAGTGTGTGACGTGAATCAACAAGATCCAGTAATGGGAGCAACAGCAAAGCAGGCTCCCTGGGCAGATCATCCACCGTGTAGGTGTCCGACACCCTACCACTGCCCCTGGCCGAGAACCTGGGTAGACCCATGAATGAGACCCGTGCTGTGGCCTAGGCAGCCCCTCCTGCATTCAGGGCCCTTGGATCATCCTTGAGTTGTGGCCACCCACAAAGATCCGTATGCTGGGCTCCAGGCCACATCTGCCCCAAGCCCTCCCGGATTCCCCAGCCTCTACGGGATCCAGGTGGCTGCTGAGCTTGGTCTCCACAGAGGTCCCAAGGGTGTCCCCAGCCACAGGCCAGCTCAGCCTAAGCAAAAGAGAGGAGTCAGGCCTAGAGCACTCAGGGAATGGAGTCATGGGCTCAAGGTCTGGGTGTCTGTTGTCCCCCAGCCAGGCCTCCATCCCCTGCGAGCCTTCCCCGGTGCACTCCCGTGAGCTCCCTGGCTGCCATCGTTTTGCCCATTGGCACAGCCGGGCACGGGGGCCTGTGGAATCTCTGGGCTAGGACACCACCATGTGGCATGCTGTGACTGAAGCCCTTGGCTCCATCATCTGATTCTACTTCCCTCTCGTTAGTGGGCCTCTTCCCTCCAAAGTGGCCATGTGGCACTGGCAGAGCCTTAGTCCTCTGGTGAGATGACCTGACATCAGTCCTGGGACCACTGCCATTGTCGCCAATGATAATTTGGCTGATGAACTTGGCTCCAGTAGAAAAACATTTTTTAGCAGTGTATTAATGAATGAAATAAGGTTTCAGTGGTTAAATTTTTATTGCTGAAAGAGCAGAAAATTAGTAGCACTTCTAGGGATTTTTTTTTTTAATTCAGACCATAAACCATTAAAATGTTAATATTCGTTCACCAAGTATTTGCTGAGTACTTACTAAGGGGCAGGTGTTGTCCTACACTCCAAGGATGCGGCAGAGAGCAGGCCCTCTGCTCTCGGAGCTGTCACTCCAGCAAGGGGTCTGAGACAGTCCACAGGGTGCACCGGAAGGGACGTTGGGCACCTTGGAGCTAATTTCTAAGCATCCTGTAAGATTTCCTACGTACTTTCGGAGGGCTCATCAAAGGAAGCTGCTGAGTGTCTAGTTGCCAAGTTGCTCTGTTTTGATCTCTCTGGATATGGCTGCAAATATCCCTGGGGAAAACCTACACCTGTTTTGATCCTAGCTTTCCCAGTCTTTGCTAGGATCATAGAAGAATCAGTCCAATGGGAATTCCTTAAGGAAGCAGGAGAGAAGATGAGGGTTTATCCTGAAACTAGGTCTCCTCCCTTTGACCCAGACAAAACCCAAATCAACTGAAACCCTTACAGCAGGTGTTTTTGTAGCTTCGTGGGGTTCATTGCCTTGCCACGTGGGAGCCAAGAATCTACCCTGTCCAGCTGCCTGCAGTAGAATCTGTAGTTTTGCTTTATGAAGGCAGACTTCATAAAAGCAAACGCATGATGATCGTTGATATATTTGATTGCCGTGAGCTCTCTCTGCCCTCCGCCACATTGCCCCAAGCCTTTACCCCTGCTGGCCTCATGGGCTCATGCTGCTTATTTAACACCATGGTGGAGAAACGGCACACTGCTACGGCCTTGCAGGAGCACTTCACACTGGCGGGCCAGGAAATGAGAGGTTCTGACCAGTTGAGGCACTGGAGCCAAGAGCATTCTTATTTTTTCTTTCTTTCTTTTTTTTATTTTTCTTTTTTATTTCTTTGAAAGGCAGTGACAGAGAGAAAAAGGTCTTCCATCTGCTGGTTCACTCCCCAGATGGCTGCAGTGGCTAAGGCTGGGCCAGGCCAACACCAGCAGCCAGATTGGGCTCAGCTTGGGCCATCCTCCGCTGTTTTCCCAGGCCATTAGCAGTGAGCTGGATCGGAAGTAGAGCAGATGGGACTCAAACTGGCAGCCACGCGGGATGCCGGCACTGCAGGCAGCAGCGTAACCCACTACGCCACAGCACCAGCCCCCAAAAGCATTCTTAACTGTGCTCTCCTGAGAAGCCCCCATGAAATCCTGACCCAGCAGTCCTCAGCTTTAATCCCCTCTGAAATGAAAGTTAAAAAAAATTAAAGATTTAAAAATGAAGCCAGTCCTTGTTGAGAAGACCTGTGAGAAGAACGGGCTGGCTGGCACTAACAGACCAGAAGGAGGTGGAGTGGATCTTAGAACCATGCCTCTAGAGACACGTTTGTCATTGCCCATGAGGTCTGTCCTTCCCAACAGTGCTGCTTGGGGTGTTCCCAGGGAAGGCCTCACTGGCTTGGCTGTTTCCTGGTGACCAGAGAAGACTCGGAATTCCAATCTTCATTGTCACTCAGGGCAGCAAGGCCACCGAACTGCAGGGGTGAGAGAGCCCTGCGTGCACCTGTTCGTGTGGTTGCCCCGGCCACATTGCACGCCAGCTGGTAAGCACTGCACCCACGGCTTACACCACTGAGGAACCCAGATTCTCCTTGGAGCTCACTGTCATTCAGTTTAAATTGGACAGCACAGTCTGGAGGGGAGCCCTGAAGCTCAGGCTGGTCCTGGGGGCAGGCGCCTTTGTAGACTTCGGCCTGTGTGTCCTTCCCAGGAAGAGCTCTTGGGCTTGGTGTTTTGTCTGTTTGCAGAAGGCGTGGAGCTGACGCGGTGCCCCAGGCAACGCTCTGCATGTCACAGAGCAGCTGTGTCACACGCTGGCGGCTCCCTGGGTAAACAGCCCTTCTCTCTTGTCTCTTTCAAGTCAGGGGCCTGGTGGGAGCAGTTTTCCGTGACTCTGAGTGGCTGCGTCACAGGCCCTGAGGGAGGATGAGTCACGGACCTGTCTCCAATGCAGACATCTCAAGGGCTGGAGCAAAGACCCAGAACCTCAATTCTGAGAACCCCACCAGCATCCCCAGAATGGGGCCCAGAAAGAGCTCACTGGCAGACCCAGATTCTGATGACGGTGTCTGAAGTTTGCTCCCACGATAGAAGAACCAGGTCTGTGAGGAAGGGGCCCTGCCAGGCAAAAGCTAGATTCTTTTTTTTTCAGTTTAGTGACAAGAGATAATTACTGTGGGATTGATCAGGCATCCAGAGTACTGGAGCAAAGAAATTGTGCAGTGGCCAGCGCAGGAGGGGCCCAGCTGCTAGTGGAAGCGGTGGCCGGGTCACCCCAGCGTAACGTGGCGTGATGGAGCGTCCACGTGGGTCTGCTGTAATGCGCTATTGATATGCAGCCAGCCAATTTCCCCCGTGTGGCTGGGGCTGCGAGCTGTTGGAGCAGAGCTGGGCTGCACAGCAGCAAATGAAGAGGAAAATTGAAGTAATGTTGTATTATAAATTTATAATTTCATCTGCCTGACCTAGAAGATGTTCTGTGATGGGGAGTGGAGATGAGATCCCCCGCTCTGGCCCGTGCTGCCTTCTCATTTTCCTCATCCAGGAGACATGGATGTCTCCGAGAAGAGTGGGGTGAGGCCCAAAGCCGGGGTGAACTTCATCACACTTTTCTTCCTTGTTGAAGACTCTCAGGTCTGGCTGGAAGGGTACAGTCGTGTCATCCTGGCCGCCTGCGTGCTGGGAGGACTGGCCATTCCGCTGTGCCATGCTGAGGGAGGGGCACACACTTGCTGTCTTATTACTACTAAAATATGTAAGATTCCAGCTCTGGGGCTAGGGGCGAAGGAGCCATTTTCGGCAGTGAAGCCCCTAGGCAGCGGTGATTTGGCCGCTTGTGTATAATCCGTATATCGATATTGTTGAAATAATGGTCTAAGAGATCTAGTGCTGAAAAGGCCTGACTTGAAAGCAGGTGATTAATTTGGAGGTGTATTGAGCCACCCAGCCATGAAGCAAACAGCAAGGAAGGAGCCAGAGCGCATGTGGCCCTTGAAGATGTCCGGGTCCCAGGCGCTGTTTGCTCCCCTTCCACTCCTCTCCCCATGAGGGACCTGCACCCAGCGTCCCCCTGGGCTCTTCAGTTCTCAGTTGGTGCAGAGCTGCTGAGTAATTCTGTCTTGCCTGGGCAACCCTCTCCAGAGAGATCGCCCGTCTGGGCAATGGAGCCGGTGTCGGGCCCTGTTGAAGTTGACAGGGCAGCTGGCAGGGCTTTCACTGTGACTGCGGACTTGGGAAGGCTCTGGCTGAACCAGGGAGAGGAGCGCCAGCTGGTCTCTGGGGAATCTGGGAAATCCCTGCTTGGAGGGTCCTGCAAGACTTCCACGGGCAGAGAGACACAGCTCCGAGAGAACAGGGAAGACCCCTGTCTTAGATCAGGTCAATGGGAGCAAAGCCCCATAGACTTGGGTGGTTTACAGTGCTGGAGGCCGGGAAGGCCAAGAGGAAGCACTGGCAGATCTGCAGCTGACGGGGGCCTGCGTCCGTATGGGGGATGCCCTCTCACTTGTGTCCTTAGGTTTCGGATGAGGCGAGAGTCTCTCTGTGGCCCCTGTTTCAAAGAGCATTCACTCTCCTGACCCAATCACCTCCCAAAGACCCTGCCTCCTAGCACCATCAGGTTGGGGGGTGAGGATTTCAGCACAGGAATTCCAAGAGGGCACCAGCATTGCAACCGTAACAACAGCCATAACATGGGCATGATCTCAGGCCAGAGACAGCCCTGGCACCGAAATCTCCTGACCTCCAGACAAGTGCACTTCGGGTGTGATGGCAGGCCCATCAGCATCCAGGAGGCAATGCCAGCATCCAGGAGAAAGTGAGGAATGGGGGGGCCCATCTCTGCACTGCTGAGGCACAGCAGCTCCGAGTGGGCAGCGGGAAGACAAGCCAAGTCTGACTCACGATGCCTGGGCACAAACGAGGTGGGAATTGGCGATCCCTTCCTCACATCCTCACTTGCATGGCCAGCGAGCACGTGCTGTGATGTGAGAGGACCCGCCCGCTGGGAGGTGGATGCTGAGAACCTGGCAGGTGTTTGTAGGGAAGTGCAGAGGCAGGTGTGGGAAGAGGTCACTGCTGGCCTCATCACTGGGGAGCCTGGAGCCGGCCGTAAATCCACCCACAGAAGGAACTTCCTGCCAGCATTTTGGTGGTAAACAGCAGAAGCAGCACTGACAGCTGTGAACGCGGAGGAAATCATCAGAAGGAACTTGGCCAGGGCACAGAATTGTCGGGAAGCCTGGAAAACAGGAAGCGGCCAGGTGGGCCGAGCCACAGCCCCCACCAGAGACAGCCCGGAGGCGACCTGGACAGGGGCCACTGTCACCACCCCCTGGGTGCTGGATCCTGCTGCTGGGGCCAGAATGGACACTGAGCCACAGCCTCCTCCCTGCCCCACTAAACCAGAGGCGGATCCCCAGGGAGGCTTCTGGTGGCCCTACCCCGGTGTCCTGCCTGCCACACTCTGGAGGTGCAGGAGAGAGGCCGGCGCAGCTTCCATGTTGGGGCAGGCCTCTCCCCAAGGTTCACGCCTAGGGAGGGAGGTCAGGTGCAAAATGCGAAAACAGCCACACGTTGGCCCCTCACCGGTCAGAGCCAAGGCCATGTGCGTGGTGGCAACAGGGTGGCCTGTGGTGGTCTGTAAGGCATGAGTGTACCTTGGCGTCCATACCTAGTGTAGAATGAGGCAAAGTGAGCCCACAGAGGTAGGAGAGAGGAGACCACGGGTCTCCTGAGGCCAAGAAGGCCACGCTGGCCTCTCTTGTAGTCAGAATCGGAGGCAAGGATGTGATGAGTGAGGTCTGAGTGGGCGCAGTGACTCGCTGAGATCCGGAGGGACAGTTCACTGGGCGTTAACAACAGATCGGGGGCTGTCACACCAAGACTCGCCAGCACGGCTTCCTGTTGGCCCTGCACCGGGCTGTGGCGGTTTCCACGGCACTCCCTGGTTATCTGCTGAGATGGACCCGGAAGCAGGTGCAGGCCCTGAAATGCATGTAGGAAAAGCGCCCCCAGGCCTCTGAGTGTGGGCCACGCTCCATGTGCATAATTTAGCACAGGCAGCCCCTCACCAGTCCCCAGGGGTCTCTCAAAGCTCTCGGCATCTCCGCAGAATGTCTGTGCTGCGTCCCCGGGCTGTCGCTCGTTAGGCCTGGCATTCCCAGAGGCGCAAGGTCAGCCCTGAGTCTGGCCACTCATCTGCCGCCCCCAAGTGCCCATCTGCAGGGCGCTGGCCCTGTTGCCCACTGCCGAGGGAGGAGGCATGTCGAGGACTTTAATCTCTACTGTCAACAGCTGTAAGGTAGAATACACTCAGGTAAGCTCTCCAAATGTCAGAGCCAGGCATGGCCTCGTGGTCGGTGCTAATGCGTGGCATTTACTCTGCAGGTTCAAGAAAGTGCATGGACTTCGGCGGGGCGGGGGTCTGGCTGCCCAAATACAGGTTGATTGCCAGCAGGCTGCAAGCAGCACCCCCGGCCGCCCAAGGCTCTGGGTAAAGACCCTCCCAGGAGACGAGTGCTTTTGTGAAGGAAAAGCCCTGCGGCTGTGCCTCCCTGCCACCTGCCCTGGCAGGGCACCCAGGCCTGGGACGGCGGCACTGATGGAGCTCTGTCTTTCTGTGTTCAAGGCTACCCCAACTTTGTGGCAACCTATGGCCGCGGCTACCCCGGATTCGCTCCTAGCTACGGCTATCAGTTCCCAGGTGAGTGGCTGGTTCTCCTGGTGCTGGGGAAACCTGGGAGGTGGGCTGCACTGGGAGGGTGGGGGGATATGGAATGACCCCAGAAAGGAATGCAGCTCACTCTGATGCCTCACTTATGAGATGACTCGAATGTGCTAGCTTTCAAGTCCACTCAAGTCCACGGTCAGGATGCAGCTCATTTCTGATGCAGTGAAGTTCGTGAGAGTGGCGGCTTTTAATGAGAGAGGGAAAGAATGAAGAATGGAGGCAGGAGGCCCCTGCTGCTCACCCTCTTTTCCTGAATCCTGCTGGGGACTGAGTTCTAGGCCCAGGGTTCTCTTCCCCCCTCGCCCACCCCACTGCGTGCCTGCTGCCTGTGGCCTCGCTGACCTCCCCGCCTTCCTGTCCTCCCTTCCTCTCCGTCCTCCCCTCCTTTCCTTCTCCAGCCGGCTTTGCTGCCCGTGTGCTGTGTGCTGGTGTTGTGCTGCTGGCGTTGGGAGGCTGTCCAGTCCGGGTGGGGCTGTTTTCCCTTTCCCTCTGTGTGTGCATCGGAAGCTGGCGGCAGAACCCACCGCGATGCCCACTCGCTGAGGCTGCTGCCGCTCCAAGGCAGCTGGCAGGCCCGGGAGCAGGACGGATGGGTGTGGGCTCAGAGGGCTGGGTGCTAAGGGAAGCCATGTTTGAGGAGAGGCCACTGGGGAGCTGGACGTCAGTGGGGGTGGACCGTGAGGCTTCTGGGGAAGGCGTTAGGAGCAGAACCTGTGCTCTGCCGGCTGCCTGCTGGGGGAGGGAGGGGCTTTGTCGCCGACCCGGGAGAGGGGAGCTGGGGTTGGGCTTCAGGCAGAGTTTCCCGCCGTTGTCATCTTGTCCAGACTTGGCCTGGGAGCATCATAGGTGTGATCTGGTGCTGTGAGGCTGCTGAGCCAGAGAAGGGAGTGCTTGGCTTGGCCTTGGCCTCAGCCCGAGCTCTGGGACCAAGAAAATATTTGGGACACTGAGAGCCGTGCCCTGTGCTGAAGAGCTCCCTTGACCCGCTCTGGGAGCCCAAACTCTTGTCCTGGCTCCAACACCAGGTGGCCCAGAGGCTGGGGCAGGTCACCTGCCTTCTCTGGGCCTTGCTGTCTCTTCTGTAGATGGGGGCTGAGGTCTCTCCAGTTGTGTGGGTCACAGGACAGGGGTTGCAAGCTAGAGGCTCCCATAAGAGTGTCCCTTAGGACAGGAATGGTTTCTCAACTGGAAGGGGCCCCAGCAAGATCCCTGCGCTGCACTTGGGGAGCCTGCAGCATGGGGCTGTGTGCAGGCCGGCACTGTCCTGAGGTCTTCCCCACCTGTCCACACGACCCCAGGGCACACAGGTAGGAAACCATCTGCAGGGAGTCACGGCCAGTAAGAGGCAGCAGTCCCGGTGGCAGCCACCACACTCGCCATCACCTGGTGTCCATTTAGCCACTAAATGAGATTTAAAGTAATTAAATGGAAAGGAAAGTGCAGTTCTGAGCCGTATTAGCCCAGTGCTTTCCAACCACTTGTTAGCCACACGTGTGGCCCTCAGCGTGCTGCTTGTCCCAGAAGGGCAGAGGTGAGGGATCTCAATGTGGGTCAGTTCAGGGTGCGACATGGAAGGTGCCCTGCTCCGGCCTCTGTCTCACCTGAGAGCCTGCCCTTGGGGCGTCCCCCGAGAGCCAACTCAGAAAACACCGGGTAGAGCTCTGTGGCCACGCCCTGGCTCCCACAGCCGTGCAAGAATGGCCCAGCCGAGACTTTGCAGAGTGGAATGGGGTCCCCCAGATGGCCAGCCCTTCACCAAAAGCCAGGGCTTCGGGAGCTGGGGGTTGGCAGTGCGCTGGGTGTGAACGGGACAGAACGCAGGCATTGCAGCGTTCTGGGAGCAGCTCCCTGGCACAGGGGAGTCAGCGGTTCTGTTCTCTCGACCAGCAGACTGCCCAGTGCCCGTCCTCCCCGTTCACTCCCTGGACACCTCTGGTTTCTCTTAACCCATGGCCAGAAAGGGGCCACCAGAGGCCTTGAGAGTCCAGCCACGCGCTCTCAAGGAGGGTAGAGTGCGAGTGACCCCAGGTAGCCCTGGGGCTGGACCTAGCTGCCCAGCCCCCTCAGTGGGGAGCCAGGCTGGTAGCGGAGTTCATCTTGCTCCTGACCCCAGCCCTAGAGAAGCTGGGCCAAGCACAGCCTTGGCTCCATCGCCTGCCCCAGTGCCCCCAAGCACCTCTGAAGCTGAGCAGGCCCCTGTTCCAGCCAAGAGCTCAGGGAGGGCTGCTCCCTGTAGAACCCTCTAGAACTTGGCCCCTCCTTGGCCTGAGGGGCAGAGCAGCTGGGGATTGCTTGCATCATCTCTTGCCTCGTGCCAGTGAGGAGTGAGGGTCCCACCAGACCTGCCAAGCACAGAGCGAGGCTCGGAGCTGGGATCACTTGACCACCCCTCCTACCCAACCCTGGCCCCCTGTCAGGTTGCTTGCATGACCCCTCCCCCTGGCTGGGGATCCTGTGACTTGGGGAAGTCAGCACAGCCGTCTCATCACCACCACCCTGTCCTGATGTTATTTTCTTTGTGGTCTCCCCATGCAGGTTCCTCAGCATTTACCCACTTCCCACCCCGGCCCCTCCCAGCCCCGGGCTGAGGCCCTCCTCACAAGGCTGAGAACAATGCCCACCCAAGTCCTTGGGAGAGGCCTAGACTCTCCACACTGTCCGTGTTCATTCTGCAGCCACACAGCCTGCGTCCCGCAGGGGACGACAGTCCCGGTCTCCTGACGGGGAGGCCTCCTCCTCGCCTCTACACCCCGATTGGCACAGGGTCTAGATGTCACTGTCAGTGGAGCATCTTAGCCCTGTGATGGGGGCCACGGCAGGCCCTCCTTAGCTATGGTCGGTGCGCAGCATGCTGGCCCCTGCCCACCTTCGTGGTTCTCTGAGAATACATGGGATGTTCCGGGAGAGGAGGCCACACCCCTTTGGGTAATATTAACAGTGGGCATTGGGTCTTTGCAGAAAGCCTGGGCAGTGCCAGCTTTGGGAAACCTCCCCCTTCCCGAGCCCAGGCGCCTGCCCGGACCCAGGCCTGGGGTCGGCCGTCAGTCTTGAGTCATGAAGATGGTGGTCTGTGGTCTGCTCTGCTTCCTATCCCCTGCCCCTGGGCTTCCCATTTCAGGTTAATCTGTTAATTTCTGTTCTTATTTCACTTTGCAGACTATTTGCCGATTTCACAAGACTTAATTTTTATCAACTAGCTCTTAAGAGAGGCATAACAAATGGGGCTTGCTACCATTTCTAGAGAGAGGATGCAGGCCTGGCCCAGCCTGGGCCACCCCAGCTGCTGTGCCCACTGAGACTGTTCTAGCTGCCCATGTGAATGGATGCTTTTCACCCCCTCATGTTTAATCCCTGGCAGGCTCACTGCCCCGCCCCGTTGTTTTCTAAGTTCCATTCTCCATCGCCTTCCCACGTTGCGTCTCGTGTGCATTGTGGCCGCCTCCTCCCACCACTTCCCCAGAACTTCTCACAAGCTCTGGAGCCTCTTCAGGGAGACGGTGTCAAGTTTCTGTAAATAGTGACCAGTGGGGCACTTCTGGAGGTGAGCTTTTCAGTGCCAGCGGCCTAGAGACTTGCAGCTGTGTGACCTGGAGCCCGTATGTCCTGTGGTGGACACTAGCAAAAGCGAACACACACACACAGACTCTTCTCGAAGGACGTGGAAAACCTAGTTTGCAAGAGCAGCCGTCTAAAGGTGATCTGATTGTCACTGGGGCCTCTCGGTGGCTGTTGCCGTGAACGTGTGCAGAGTCACCCAGGCACTGCCACCTGCCAGGCACACGGGCACAGGTCCACACGGACCCCTCCTTCCCCAGCCTTACCTCCCGCACATTCTGAGCAGAGAGCCCTCCCTGTTCAGGCCTCTTGCCAAGGCTGGCACCGCTGACAGTTGCCTCCAAAAGGCTCTTTGCCCGTGTTCCTGACCCGCTCTGCTTTGCTGTTTGACATCCCCCCACCGCCACCCCGCTCTCTTGCGTTAATGGATGCGGCTCAGTGGGACCTCGAGAGTCACGCCTTTGTCTGTGCTCATGGTTTGTGCTCATGGTTTGTGACCAGCGTGGCCCCTGAACGTAGGCGACGCGAGCGAGCCCACGGTCCAGTGTCCGTGTCCTCGCCGCCCAGTGTGCACACTTTGACTCATCTCATTGAAGACGCTCAATGTAATAAGTGCTTAGTTTCCTTTTATTTCCCTGTAGGCAATTTCATGAACACTTCTTTTTTTTATTCAGAATAACAAAAATCTGTGTGGCCTTTGTCCCGAGCCTCTTCTGTCTTGGTTTGCTATGAGTTGCTTTGCTTTGGTGAACTTGCCCTGGTGCGCTTGCCTCACAGATGCCTTAGCCGTTGTGAATTTCCTCATCTCTGTAAATAGTTCATCTGTGCTTCTCCCTAATGACGTTTCATTTTTCCCCCTGTAAGCAACCGAGGTAGAAAATAAATTGTTTACCACGGACATGCTGTGTGCTGCCGTCTCTCAGCTGACAGGGTCCTGCTCTTCGCTCCGGGGGAGCTGGATGCACTAAATAACCAGCCCTAGTCACAGCCTCATGCGGTTCCCAAAAGCATGCACGCTCCCCCTGGCTGCTGCCTGCTCCCAGCCCTCCCTGCTTCCTGGAGCCCCCGGGGCTGGCGCGAGGTGCTCTGTCCCCCAGCCTAGCGGCGGGGCATCTGCCTGCCACGGCTGTGCTCTCGCCCTGGCGCCCCTTCCTCTGCCTGCACTCCCGCCCTCACGTGAAAGCGGCACGGGGGCCTCGGGAGCCCCTTGTTTCTGTGCAGCAGGCGTGTCGGGCGCCCATACCTGCACTCGTGCATGTGTGGAGGGGCACGTGGCTTGCCGTCCTGACTCCCTGAAGCAGTGCAGGTTGAAGGAGGCACCTGTGGTGCAATGGAGATGTTGCTGGACGTGAAACCTGAGGACCTCATCTCCAGGGCCCGCTTGGCCATCTGGGAGCCATCGTGTGGCCTGGAGCAGG